CCCCAGTCAGCTTAAGGAAGTTGCTGGTGTTTGAATTAAACCATCCCTTGCTAACAGCAGACTGGTCATCAGATGGGTCCTTAAGATTCTTAATCTCATGGTTCTTCATATCAATATCACCAGCAATATTAAGTCCAGTCACAGGTCTATTTAGCATGCTAATTACCCAATCCTTATGAACTGCAGACTTACCAGTTGTAGGATCACCTAGTGTTACTATTTCATTGGAGGCCATACTAATATTACCAGACATTGACTTTGAACCATCCAGTGGAAGGAACTTACCATTTGACCACTGATATAAATAGAAACGCGACACTGCACTATCACTTTTATTTGCAGTTGTGGTAAGACCCTGTATTTCAAATCCGCCCGCATTCAGTACACCTTTCATCTTATTGAAAGCATTTGTGGCAAGATAGTTGTTCCATGCATACGTGTGCACATACTGCACATTAGCCGCCTCACTGAAGTCACCCCCATCAGACTTAAGATTGACTACCTTATTATTTCCCATATCAATATTCCCAGTCATTGTAAACCCAGCTGGTTGAATTGTAGCGGAAGCCTGTTTAACGATCTCATCATCCACCCACTTCTTTGTGACCGCAGACGTATCATCTGTAGGAGCACCTAAACCCTTTACCTCATTACCGTCCATCTCAATGTCACCCTTCATGGTAAATCCGTCCTTATCAAACACACTACCAGTTGTTGGATCAATATTATTTACACCTTTAATATATCCCTTATAGAGAGCCATTTTTATAACATACTCAATGTTTCACAGGGCAGTTCTCAATATAAGAAACACAGCAACAGACCCGATACCAAGTCCAGCTAAAGCACCATCACCTAAGGACTCACGCTGTGCGATAGGTGTGATAGTCTTAGGAACAACCTGAGGTGCAACACTTACAGAACTCCCCGGAACTTTCGTGTTTCCACTAAGAGTATCAAGGTGGTGAACTGGTGTGCTATTTTGATGTTGTTTCTTTGGAGGATCAACTTGCTTAACACCTACATAATTTACCTTAGGATTCACCCCAAATTTCATTGTATTAGTTGCCGTCTTTAGAAGGTTATTATAACCGAGTATCGGAGTTTTTAGAATAATAAAGTTTGATGGGATTAGAACTATTCCAGGGGGTAGAGCAGTGTTTAGAATCACATTAGTGTCCCTCACAGCTTTCCTCATATTGCTAATTGTTGTTACCGTATTACTTTGTAAAATAGTAGACTTCACAATAGTTCTAAAGTCACGTTGTGTTTGAAGAGCCTTTGGACCGTTTCCTTCTATTGACCACCTTGTATTAGCTTGAGATCCCAACATAGCGTACACATAGGACTCAATGCTTTCCTGGATAAGCTCAACACCCAACTTAGTAAAGCCATTGCTTTTTTCAGCTGTGAATGAAAGGTAATCACTACCAGACAAAGGTCCTGCAGTAGTTGTAGCACCATTTTTATCAATAATATAATTCTGATTTATTAGAATGTGTTTCCTTACAATATCAAGGTTAACACCAAGTTTATCAATAGCATCCTTACTAACTGTTAACTTTCTAGTTGTGTAGTAAAGATGATACCTCATAATGGATGTTATTATTTTAGGAACGGAATTACTTTCACGAACGTGTTCTAAGGATACACCGCTGAGATAGCTAGCTATGTAGGCGCCAGACAACATTCTAGTGTATGGTATCATATTAAAGGAAACTTTTCTTACATCCTTATTAGTTAAATTAGGACCTTCATCCCAACCTACACCAGCATCAGGGAAGTTAGACATGAAATAACTGTTTTCATTTACATAGATCTTAAAGTTGTTAAAGTTGTAGGGAAGACTTACAGGAGGTCGATATGTATTAATATGATAGCCATCATCATGAACCAGAACCCTACTGGACCCTAACTTTCTTTCATCGTAAGTAGGATCCTTTGGAAATACAAGAGGTTCATATTTTTGGACGGTGCCATTACTATTCCAAAGATGTGGCCATCCTTTTGGTTTCAGGGGAGGTGCCACCACCTTAGGTTTCATTGATGTGAGGTATGATGTGTATTCGCTATCCCCCTTAAATCCATCGTATCTTATGTCATCAGACGTAATTCCATCTAAATCCACAAACCATGTAACAACACCAATATCACCACTACTTGTAGTCATAGCTTCAAATTTAAATCTTCTCATATCTGCAAAAGGATAACTTGCCATAAATCTAGCTCTTTCAGCGTCCTCTGCCTTTTTAGCAGCAACAGGATCAACATGATCTTCATACTTTTTTTCATAGTCTTGGTACGACCGATACGGCGACTTACCAACTTGTCCTCCACCTAGTCTCATTCTTAATAACCTAACGTATGTTATTAAGATGAAGTTCACAATTTTACTGCAGAGCTCGCACACAGTTGTATCACTACAGAACTCAGTTCTAACAAGCAACTATAAATCAGTCTTTGTGAAGAGAGTATCAGTATTCTGGGAGTACTTCAACATAAGGGAACCAACAACTATTCTCAAAGTGAAAACAGATGATGGAGAATCTGATGTAATTGTTAGTAAAGGTTACTACACATTTGACAGTATGAAGAAGTTACTTGAAAGACATGGTGTTAAGCTAATCTACTTTACTGAAACAGCAGGATGTCAAATAGAGGCAGTAAAACAAGATATCACAATAGAAACACGATTACTGGCTATGTTAGGTTTTAATAGATTTTATAATCCTATGATCCTGCTGAAAGGGAGGAGTTTGACAAGTGATAGCAAAGTTGACTTCAACAACAGTCTACGATACGTAAATATACACTGCAATCTGGTAAGTAACAGTTTTAACGTTAACCCTTGGGGAAGACCCAGCGATGTGATAACAAGTGTCACAGTTCCAACAGACAGACCATTATTAGGCTCGGTAGTCAGTTACATTGATGTTGAAAGCAGGACTTCGATTGTTAAGGGTTCATTCTCAGAACTTGTATTCCACATGACAGACCAAGACGGGAAACCTATTGATATAGGTGAAGTGCTTATCGAGATGTACTTTGAGTAGTTAGCTTACATTGGTTAATATAAGATGGACGACGATATTATGAAAGAACAAGGACTAAGGGATATTTACTACAATCCTAAGACTGGATTCCGAACACCAGAGAAACTATATCTTAGAGCAATATCAGACGGACTTGAAGTAACCAGAAGTCAGGTCAAGAAATGGATAAATGAGCAAGACACATACACTAGGTACAGACAAGTGTTTAGGAAACATAAGTTCAGACAGACGTACGTCCAAACTTTAGGTGAACAGTTACAAATGGATTTAGTTGACATGGCAAAATATGATGACAAGAACAAGGGATACCGCTGGATTCTCACATCCATTGAAATACTGAGTAGGTACGCATTCACAGTACCAGTGTATAGGAAAAACGCGACATCAATGAAGGACGCAGTCAGTAACATTTTAGAGCAATTTAGTAATCGTTTTGGTAAATACCCAAAATTCGCCCAGTTTGATCAAGGCACAGAGTTCTACAACAAAGATGTAAAATCATTGATCAACAAACATAACATTGAGTTTTTCTCTACTTACTCAGATAAAAAGGCCGCAGTTGTGGAAAGATTTAACAGAACACTGAAAGCGCTAATGTGGAAGTACTTTTACATAATTACAACAGTTCAGTGAACAGATCAATTAAAACAAGTCCGGACAGTGTAAATGAGTCCAACTGGACTGAAGTATGGAAGACACTTTTTAGTCACAGTTTAGGCAAGCCGTCAGAACCAAAGTTTGCTGTCGGAGAAAGTGTCAGGATCTCGAAGTACAAATCAGTGTTCACAAAAGGGTACGAAGCAAATTTCACAGAGGAGTTGTTCACTGTGACGGAAGTGTATCACGGCCATCCAAACACGTACACAATAAAAGACAGTGCTGATGAACCAATAATTGGCAGATTCTATGAACAAGAACTGTATAGCGCTGAAGGAAGAGAACCTGATTTTAGAATAGAGAAAGTATTAAGGAGAAGAACAGTGAAGGGTAAAAAGATGGCTCTCATTAAGTGGTTAGGTTACGATGACAAATTTAACAGTTGGATACCAGCTGGAGACATCAAGTCCCTAACATAAGTTAAAGTATTATGGAGGACTACGATGACATTGAGTTGGAGGAGATGGAAAAAACGTATCCTCAATATGACGACCTCAGTTATGATGACCTAACAACAGCTTTTAGTAGGTTAGATACAAAGGTGAAGGGAGAGGCTATGTATGGTGATGACCCTTTAGTAATAACTGATCTTAAAAGTGAACTAGACTATGTAACGAATCTCATGGAGAGACGTGCAATAGAAGAAACAACTTTCACCGAAGGAAATGATGGTACAGTGAACATCTCAGGTCCATCAGGAGTCGACTTCGTAGAAGATCCAAACAATTTACTTCCAGATGTGTTAGATGCATTTGATGAATCATTTGACGCTGACTGGGATGAAATAGAAGCCCGCCTAGAGAAACTAAATAAGATTTCAACAGCAAATAAAAAGAGAGATTTCGAAAACCAAGTAGAGCGTGTTCAAGCTGTCACAAGAGTTATCAAGGGTAAGAAGAAATTACTGCTGGACCCTAAGAATAGATACGTCAGGGAACTCATAAAACGATCATCTGTCAGAACACTAAATGATGGCACAGAGGTGTTGGTATTTAGAAGTGAACAAGGTACTGACAGAGGTAGTACCCAGATAATGAAACGTGGTAAGACCAAGATTCCAGTGTACTCAAAGGACTCACTTGCTCTGAGAGAATATAAGGACCTTATAAAGAAAATAAAAGAGGTACCTACGAATCCTGACAATATAATTGGAAGTGATGAATCAATTTACGAGGATACTAAAGAAGAGCCACAATTTGATACCAGTAATGAGGAATTCGCTGACCGGGAGAACATTGAATTAATAGACATAGGTGCACAACTAGGAGACCTTCCAGGGCTAACAATGCAAGAAAACAATGAACTGAGAGGTGTTCTTAACCCACCTGATGGATCAAGCATAGAAGGAAGGACAGGTCCCAATGGAGCGCTGCAAATCCAGGCTGACTACTTTAATGAAGCCATTGGTGAAACCGTGGAACGAGCCACGTCTGTGGAAGGTACAACTGAGTATAATTCCCTTATAGAAAGAATTGACAGTTTGAAGGAAGCTAGGGATAGGACACTAGAGCAGAGAACAGTAGAGGAAGCAAGAGAGGCACAACTAAAGGACATTTCCAGATTACGTAGATTTATAGACTGGGTAGGAAAGGAAAAGGTGGGACTTGTAGGGATAGCAGTGTCAACAGCTAGTTTAATTACAGCCTTATTAATCCATGCTAGGGGAGCCATTGTGAAGACAGCAAAGGTCACTGGTAAAGTAGCAAAAGCATTAGCAAATTTAGCAAAGAAAGCAGGACCAATTATAGTTCCAATTCTGAACACCATCGCAACAGCCTTATCATGGGGAGCCAAAGGAATTGCTTGGTTAGCGTCACACTTATGGGTACTAGCTATAGCTGCAGCCTTAATGGTATACAACTATTACACAAAGTAAATTAGCTATGGAGGAACACCAAGAGGAATACGATGACCAGAAAATGGAGGAGTTGAAGGAAAAGTATTCGAACTATGAAGAAATGGATATAGAAACTTTAGATAGCGAATTACCGTACCTTAACAAGGATTTTAGGGAAAGCGAAACTGCTGAGGAGACCCAGGATATTAACGAGGAAATTAATTACGTACAGGAACTGAGGAGGAGAAAAATGTTGAGCGGGGACCTTACGAGAGAGCAATTAGCTGAGAAATTCCCTGACCTATCTAAACTGTCATACGATGATCTAATGGATAGGGGAGACAGACTGTTAAATGAAATAATACTATCGAATTTGGACGAAGACAGTTTCAAAGAAAAGTCGGAAGAACTGAGATACGTCAGAATGCTATCAAATGATTACCAAAGAGAGTCAAATCTAAACCGGCTACTTAACTTGAGAGACAAAGTGAAAAAGAGGGATCTCATTAAACGGGATGATCGTAGGAGACTGCAGAGGCTCAGGTTATGGGCAAGGGAGAATGCAGGCATCTTATCAGCTGTTCTAATTTCCTCATCAGCTGTAATCATAGGACTGGTAGCATCAACTAGAAACATATTGTGGAAAGTAGGTGACACAACAGAAAAGCTGGATAAGCGGATCAGTGAGTTGGTAAACCACCAAATAGAACTACCAACTGTATTTCAGAAGATAGCCGATGGAGTAGAGTTAGCAGCGGATAATATATGGATAATCATTGTATGTGCAGCAGTAGTTTTACTGTACAAATACAGCTAAACATTACATATTGTATACAAGTATGAATACCACAGAAAGAGAACTCCAGCCTGGCTTCAGGAGGAGCCGTATGACATCCGTAAAAGGTCCCAGAACTAGAAGTGTTGTAACATTTAATCCAACAACTATTGGACCAGGTGAAGAGCTGTACATTAACATCCCCAAACTAAAGCCTGACTCTTGTTTAGTCCCGGGATCGTTTGCACTATTATTTGACTTCAAAAATTCCAACACAAAGAGCCATTTCAATAACAACCTGTCTAAGTTGATAGCAAAACGTCTTCAGATTAAAGTAGCCGGTGAAACAGCCTATGACTGTTCAGGAGAGAGTTTGTACGAAATGTACAAAGATCTATGGCTAACACTAGGTGACAGAAAGAAGATGACTGAACAGGGTCTTGCAAGTGAGAATCTCAGGAAGCTGATATCAGGCGACGACTCAGGTGTAAAGCTAGGTGATGTCGGTAAAGTAGCAGATGCACTCCTCCACAGTGTGTACGGTTCTAAGCTGAGAAAACCAATTGATAAAATAATTGCAGACCATGGGCTCTACACACCGTTCTCCATGAATAACAATCCTATGTACATCCTCACACTCCCCCAAGCAGATGAGATTATGACTGCCCAAGGAGGTGAACAAGTAGATGGCTATAAACTGGACAATCTTGAGCTAGAATACGAGACCACTGAAAATGACGCCCTTGCGAGTGAAGTATCAAGGATGTATTCAACGGGTCGCTCACTGTCCTACAAACACGTTACACTAATGCGTACGAGTAACTGGGACAAGGATCTTACCATTGTCAATGAGAACATTAATATCCCCAGAAAGAGCATGTCAGCTATTGTCCTTCTATTTACCAATAGAGTGAGAACTGATTCTGAAGAATATATTTACCCAAACATTGATAAAGTGAACCTGACCATTGAAGGTGTGCCTAATGCAGTTTTCTCCCAAGGACTTCCCAAAAATAGGTTCTTTGAAGAGGCAAAAAGATTCTTCTGCCCTATGTGTGAAAAATCCATGGCAGACGAGTTTATGTCCATCAGCAAGTTCTTCAGCAATGGTTTCGCTCTAGTAATCGATCTTAGGTCAACACAGGATGATACCACTGGTGGAGGTAAGAAGATAGTTAACACACAGTCAGGCGTACTCCTGGAAATCAAAAAGAGAGTCACAACAGCTGACGTTCAGTGCAACATTTTTGTTGTATCAGATGCTCTACTTAACTTTGCCAATAGAGATCTATCAAGTATTCAATACTAATGGTAAAGCATAGAGATGCAACAACTTAAACCCCCATTCAACATGCTCATAGTAGGAATGACTGGAAGTGGTAAAACTCAGTTCCTACTTAATATGTTAGAAACAGAGTACAATAGAGTTTTCGATTACATTGTCATTATATGTCCAACCATAGAGTGGAATATGACTTACATTAATTGGACTCATATTAGTGACCACGGAGTTATACAAATTCGATGCTCACAAGAAATGATCGATCTTGTTCTCAAGGCAGTGTCCACCATATTCCGCGGTACTCAGACTCTCATTATAGTGGACGATTGTGCTGCAAGTCAAGATGTAAAGAAAAGAGTCTCAGAACTGGTGCGCTTAGCATTCTCCGCAAGACATTACAACCTATCTGTCATTGTACTTACCCAACAATTGTCATCAGTAACAAAACCATTCAGGGAGAACATTTCCAGGCTAGTTACATTCTACAACCCTAGCCGCAGGGATATGAAGGTTATAACAGACGACTATCTAAGTGGTGTTCCTCAGGAGACAATAACAGAGATTACGAAGATATTAAAAGATGAAAAGTTCGCCGCACTGGACGTACTACTTATTCACCCCTACACATACACTGTTAAACTAAACACCGCGTAAAATATAGATGATGGGAACTGAATCTGAGGAAGAAATATTTGAGGCTGTAAGAGAAGTAGAGGAGGCCGCAAAGGCGCCGCAGAAAAAAGCTAGATCTACCGCAAGAAAAACTAAGTCTACCGCAGATAAGTCGCAAAAGGGATAAACTTATAGAGCTATCGAGGGATGGTATAATAGAGAAGCCCGCAAGTTTTATAAGAAAGTCTAACAAGGATGTCGTAGATAGACTATACCATGAGTACGAAAGTCAGAGGATGTCATGTGCAAGTGACTTCTTATCAACACTTATTATTTCAAAGTTTGCTGCGGTACTAGGAAGTTTCGGTGCAGTGGAATCTTCAGAGAAACTGTCAGAGGAACTACTTAGTGACAAGCTTCTGAAGGATGATGTAGCATATCTAACCAGAACGATATCCCCCAATATCCCATTCATAGGGCTCATATCTGGTGGCTGTACAACAGCTAAACATGTAGTTGCCCATAAGTGGAATAAAAAGGAGGAACCTGAAGAAGTGTCCGAGGAAACTAAACATCTTCTATTACATACAGAATGCCACGACTCGGAGGGCCCTACGACTGGGAAGACATAATTAATGAATTGATTGAGAAAACTGATAAAAACAGGGAACAACTGGATAAGATTCAGGCAACTTTGGATTCACTAAAGTATGACTTTGAAGCGTTCAAAAATGATACGATAAAAACAGTTGTAAATATATACAAGAATCTAAATGAAATGCAGTAAAAAAAGACTGTTATAAAATCTCAAATAAATGCAGTAAAAAATTTTTACACATATAGTATAAAGAAGATGGAGCAGATTTTTGAGAATAGGAAATTGAATGTTAGTGTAAGGACAGTGAGGTGGGGTGAGGGTATACTGTTCTATGCAAAAGATGTGGCGGAATCACTAGGGTACGCGGATCCGAAGAAAGCAGTTCAGAAACTAGTTAGGAAACAAAACAAGGTAAGCGTAGAGGAGCTCCGCATGGGGGGCGAATCGCCCCTCTTGCAAAAATGTCACCCACAAACGATCCTGCTATACGAACCCGGTTTGTACCAGCTAATATGTAGCTCAAGACTCCCAATAGCAGAGGCCTTTCAGGACTGGGTATTCAGTGAGGTGCTTCCATCTATCCGTAAAGCAGGCTCATACACACTACCAGATAGAAGGTCACTCAGGTATAACCAAATAATCCTCATAAACGAAACGGACCTTCATTATACAGTTGTGAGTTACATTAGGAATAACCACCCTAAGGCTGTAATAGTACCCAGTCTTGGTGAGTATCAGGATACGGTGTCGAAGAGATGTGATGCTTGGAAGACGGGCTATAAAGGTGGTCAGCCAGATCTTATTATAGAGAATCCTATGGGGGAGTACACAGGATTCGCAATTGAACTTAAGTCTCCTAAGGGCACTGGGATTACAAGTGAGAAGCAAGTTCTATGGCTCACGAGACTGAGCGAAATAGGGTACATGACAATGATATCCGATGACTTGATACAAATCTGTATCAGAATTAATGAGTACTTCTCACTTAAGAAGAAAGTTAAAATAGTAAGGGTGAAGAATGTAGTCAGCGAGGCAAAGCTGTACAAACAAAAGTTCACATCACACAAGTACTAGTTTAGTGGTAAAGATAAACTTAAAAAATGCTCGGCAAATACTGCCGGGCATTTTTTAAGCAATCCCATCATACTGCCAAGTAGATTTAAGACATCTTACAAGCAGATCTAAGTTATCTTGTAAGTTATCTTACAAGTAAATTCAAGTTATCTTACAAGTAGATTTGAGTTATCTTACAAGTAAATTTAAGTTATCTTGTAAGTAGAATTAAAGATATCTTGCAAGATAAAACCCAGTTAAACCTAAGGTATCTTACAAGTAGAATGGCAGATAAACCTGAGCAAAATCAAGTACCAGTAACAAGTGAAAAGAAGAAGGACCCAAAAAGAGTAGCTGCAGGGAAACGACTGGGAGCAATCAGTAAAATAGCAAAGGAGAGGAAAAGGAAACAAGCTGAATCCAACGAGTCGTCTAGTAGTGATAGTATGATTACCTACATAGGAGTGACCATTGCATTGATATCTCTTGTACTAGCGTATAAGTCGCATCAGAGGGAAACAAAGGAACTAGAACCTGAGTACATCCCTAAAACTGTAGAAGTAACTAAGAAAGCTGATGAGTCCAAGTTAGATTCACTTGAATGATACATTAAACATACCATATATTATAGCAAGATGAGTAAAGAATCAAAGATGACTATGGAAGTGTACGATGCAGTGTTACTTACAGCAGGAGCAGTTGGTATATCAATGGCATCAAAGAAACTATTGAAAGAACCATTAGGTACCCCAGAGAATGTAAAAGGAATGGCGAAGTTAGCTATTTCAGTTAGTCTTTCATCTCCACTGGTCTCTTACTTGCAAGAAAAGAAGTATCTACCAGATGATCCATTCAAAACCTAGGTAAAACTATACAATGGCTGGGGCAGTAGCAGGAGGACTCTTTAATGCATTTGCATTTGCGGGAGCAGGATACTTATTTAAGATGTTTGACAAGAATGGATACGCTGAGGAAGCTCATAGACATAACAAGGCAATGGAGAACCTAACAGCTGAAAGAGAGAAGTACCTCGAAGAGGTCACTGATAGGAGAAATAGGATTGCTCAGCTAAAGTCAGAACTAGCTGATGCAAATAGGGATTTTAAGTCAACAAACCAGTCACTGGAACTAGTTAGAAGAATCAATGAGTTAACAAACAAGGCTATGCCAAGGAAGCCGCAATTAAGTAATCACTACAAACCTAGCTCTGAGATGGAAGAATATATGGCACTATTTGGTTTAGTTGCAGGTGGGGTGGTTGGAGGGGCAGCTTATTTAATGCTATAGAAAATGCCATAAAAATTTTCACACCTATAAGTATAGGGAAATGGAATGGTTACAGATGGCAACACCTGAGGAGATAGCACATGTAGGTAAAAAGGTAAATACACTGGAAGAGTTAGAGGCTGCTGTGAGAAAGCACGCAGAGAGTAGAATAAAGAAAAAACACACATATGATCCAATATGTAGTGAATGTGGGAGTAAGTCCATTGTAATGATAGATGGAGCAGATACATGCACACAGTGTGGTGCTAGTGATATGAATAACTTCTCGCACTACGTTAGTTACAACTACAACAAGGACGACTATCTGAAGAAGAAGTCTTGTCATAATAGAGTCCGTTGGTTTGAGAGACACTTATTCGAACATGTTGCTTCTAGGGATAGGGACACCATAAGGGAGCAGTTTAGAAGCATCGTAAGATGTATACAAAGACTTAAACTGCAAAGGGGGCACAACATAGTCAGATACAAGTTTTACCTACTGAGGATAGCTAGTATGAATGGTATAACCTTGAGAAACCCTCCTGAGGATATTAAGACTCAAAGGATTGTGGACATCCTTGAGGATAGGTTGTATGGGAAAGTTTTTGTTGAGCTTGGATGGAAACCTGAGAAATGTGAATATTATAATAAATGGAAAATAAAGAATTTAATATAATAAAAATAAATGATTAATTTTAATATAATAAATTATTAATTTTAATATAATAAAAATAAATGATTAATTTAATGGAAAAAAAATTTGGGTATTTAATTGGTAATAAATTATTAATTAAATAGCCCAATTTTTTTTTACACATATAGTATATAGGAATAGTTGAAAAATATGGCGAGTTACTTTAACATGAACGAATTCAGTGTAGAACAACTTTTGGCTCTCAACAGTATCATAGACAGTGATGAGGATATGGATACAAGAGTAGAAGACATCTTGGAGGATAGAAATTATAGGATCACTCTTGACGATAAGGGTGAAAGTCCATTCCAGGGAGAAAGACAATTTGTAGATGAAGTTGACCGTAATATGGAAACAAAGAAACCAAGACGTATTCCTAAAAACTATAAGGGTAAAAGAGGAATTATGCCAACATGGAAGTACTCTGACAGACAAAAGGCCAAGGCGCTACTTGTAGAGGAGGCATACCAGAGTTTACTGTCTAAGGGAGTTCAAGAAATTCCACCAACGATGGGAGGTAGATGGCGCACAGATGATGTTCTTGTTAATGAGGAAATTAAGAGAATCGAAAACGAAAGGAATCCTAAGGTAAAGCGTCCCAGAGGTAGACCACCAAAGGCAAAGGTTGATGCTGAAGTGAAGGTGCCAAAGAAGAGAGGTAGACCACCAAAGGCAAAGGTTGATGTTAAGGTTAGAAAGCAAACTGTAGCAGAAAGATTCCTGAGCCAGAGGAAGGTAAACTCTCAGTGCCTGCAGATAGTGTAATAACTCCAACAGGTCCAGGTAAGTTCACAGTTCACGTGGATCTTAATAAGAGACCTGTGAGGAAAGCTCCTGAGGTGCCTAAGGGTGTAGCTCCATGGAGACCGATACCTAAGCCTAGAACGGTACTTCCTAGGGAAAGACCTGTACCTAAACCTAGAACTAAGCTTCCTAAGGAAAGACCTGTACCGAAACCTAGGACTAGGAAACCAGTGTCTCCTCCTAAGGTCCGTAAGCCTGTAAGGGTGTCGAGGGAAGTCAAGGAGCAGCCTATAGTGGTTACACCAGAGGAACAAGAAATCGATCCATTTGGAACAGACCTTGAAAAGCCATTCTACAGGAAAATTGAAACAGCCGCAAATGGAGCCGCTGTAACTTACTCGATAACTCCTCATTATATGGACCCACTGGATCAGATGACTGCAAGTAGACAGGTAGTGAGAGGAATACTTGTGAACGAGTTGAAGAGAATGGGTGGGTTAAAGTACACAGAGACTCTGAAGGTGAGAATGTCAAAGGAAATTGGTGACGGAAAAACCAAGAAGGACTCAGTCTACTTCAAATCTAAGACTGGTACTGCAACTAACTTCGAGGACATCGAAAGTACTGCTGCTCAAAACCAACTGATAATATTGTCTAGAATTGAAACCTTCCAAAACCTTGGCTCAAATTGGATTATACTCAATATTGAGAGTCATTACGTAAACATTGCAATGTATAAACCGTTAAAGGGTAGTTCATACATGAAACTTCCAGGGGACATTAGTAATTCAAAGTGTGGGCTCATCAATATGAAGAACAATGACGACATGTGTTTCCTGTGGAATCATGTGAGACATCTGAATCCTAAGGCTAGAAGAGCAACCACTATCACACAGAAAGATAGGGAATTCATAACGAACCTGGACTATGACGGTATAGACTTCCCTGTGAAGATAAGTGACATTGATAAGATTGAGAGGAAAAATAGTATCAACATATCAGTGTTCGGTTACAAGGGTAAAAAACAGTTCTACCCCATAAGGAACTCCAAGGCTAAATACGACGAGCATATGGAGCTTCTACTCCTGGGTGACGGTGAAGGTAGTAGACATTATGTTCTCATAAAGGATGTTAACAGAATGTTGCACAGTGTGAGTAAACATGGACACAAGCAACACTTCTGTCTAAATTGTCTTCACAGTTGTGTGAGCAAAGAGGTACTGGAGAAGCATAAGGAAACATGTCTGGAGGTAAATGGAACTCAGGCCGTAAAGCTTCCCAAGGAAGGGACAAAAATCAAGTTCAAAAATCATAGGAACTCAATGCCTGTGCCGTTTGTGATATACGCTGATTTTGAGTCCATACTAGTACCAGAGGAAAGAAAAGAGAAGTCAGAAAACCCTGAGGACGAAAGTAGTACGGACTTTTACCAGACACACAAGGCTTGTAGTTTTGGTTTGAAGACTGTCTGCCACTATGATGATAAGTACTCCGGTGAGTATAAGAGTTACGTTGGAGAGGATGCTGCATTGGTATTCCTAAAGACTGTATTGAAAGAGTCCTTCAGATGTAGAGAGATGGTCAACAATATATTCAAGAAAAAGATGGTAATTACACCCAAACAGGAATTCGAATTTCAGGCTGCAAGAAACTGTTCAATATGTGGTAACGACCTTGGTGAGGATAGTGTAAGGGACCATGACCATGTAACAGGAATGTACCGTGGGGCTGCTCACAATATATGCAACCTGAAGTACAGAATTACATGGAAAGTACCTGTGGTCTTCCACAACCTGAGAGGTTATGATAGTCATCTGATTATGCAGGAAATTGGTAAGTTCAAGATGGATGTTAATGTGATCCCAAATAATATGGAAAAATACATCTCATTCTCACTGGGTAAAAATCTGGTCTTCATAGACTCTATACAGTTCATGGCTTCTTCACTGGAAGCATTGGTGAGTAACCTTTCACCTGAGGACTTCAGGATAGTAGGTAAGAGGTGGAAGGGTGAGGACTTCAATCTAGTGACACAAAAAGGAGTGTTTCCATATGAGTTACTAGATGATATTAGCAAACTTAATACAGAAGGTCTTTCGAGTAAGGATAAGTTCTACTCATCACTGTATGAGTCAGAGGTGAAGGAAGAAGATTACCAGAGAGCTCAGAAAGTATGGGATCACTTCAAGATGAAAACCATGAGAGACTACCACGACCTCTACTTGGAGACTGACGTTCTTCTGCTGGCCGATGTATTCGAGAACTTCAGGAGAACATGTCTGGAAAGTTATGAACTTGACCCCGCACATTACGTGTCAGCACCTAGTCTGAGTTGGGACGCTTTCCTAAAAAAGTCAGGTGAAGAAATAGAACTCGTAAGCGATATGGATATGTTCCAGTTCTTCGAGAAGGGTATGAGAGGTGGTACAAGTTATATTGCTCATAGACACTCAGCAGCTAATAATAAGTACATGGAGACGTACGATGAGTCGTCCGAGAACAAGTACCTGATGTACCTCGACGCTAATAACTTATACGGCTGGGCGATGTCACAACCATTAGCTAACGGAGAGTTCGAGTGGGTTGAGGAAGTTGATGGTATGAATCTAGAGGATTACTTGGGAGACAACGAAAGAGGGATGGTTTTGGAGGTTGACCTGGAATATCCACAAGAACTTCACGACCTACACAACGGTTATCCTCTAGCACCGGAGAGTAAGGAAATCAGTGCTTCTATGTTGTCAGATTATGCGAAGAGTATTGCTGAGAAATTCCAACTGACAATTGGCGGAGTAAGAAAACTAGTGACTTCACTAGGCCCCAGGAAAAAGTACGTCCTACATGTACGTAACCTAAAACTGTACACAGACCTTGGGATGAAACTCACGAAAGTTCATAGAG